CGTGTCGTGCGTGCGGGCGAGGCGAAGCTGCGTGGGCGCGCGAGAGGAATGAACCCGTTGCTAGGGCGAAGTCAAGACACATGATTCTCCTCCGCCCACCCGTCTGGCGGTGGCTCGCGGTGTCCCGCGGTGTCCCGTGGTGTCCCGTGGTGTTCCGTGGTGTCCGCCGTTGCTAGGGCCAAGTCAAGACAAATGATTCTACTCCGCCCGCCCGTCCGGCGGTGGCTCGCGGTGTCCCGCGGTGTCCCGTGGTGTCCCGTGGTGTCCGCCATTGTTAGGGCGAAGTCAAGACAAATGATTCTCCCCCTCCCGCCCGTCCGTCCGTCCGTCCGGCGGTGGCTCGCGGTGTCCCCTGGTGTCCCGTGAAGTCGCCGTGAAGTCCCGTGGTGTCCCGTTGATTGAGATCGATAGTGAGATCGCTAGCGAGATCGCTAGTGAGATCGATACTGAGATCGATACTGAGATCAATGTGGTGCCCCGAGGTGTCCCCTGGTGTCCCGTGATGTCCCGAAAAGTGAGATCGATAGTGAGAGAGATAGTGAGATCGACAGGTGTCCCGTGGTGTCCCTTGGTGTCCCATTGAGTGAGATCGATAGTGAGATCGATACTGAAATCAATGTGGTGCCCCGAGGTGTCCCGTGGTGTCCCGTGATGTCCCGAAAAGTGAGATCGATGGTGAGATTGATAGTGAGATCGACAGGTGTCCCGTGGTGTCCCGTGGTGTCCCGTTGAGTGAGATCGACAGTGAGATCGATAGTGAGAGCGATGTGGTGTCCCAAGGTGTCCGGTGGTGTCCCGTGGTGTCCTATGGTGTCCCGTTGAGTGAGATCGATAGTGAGATCGATATTGAGATCGATAGTGAGATCGAGAGGTGTCCCCCCGTGTCCCATGGTGTCCCGTGGGCAGTGGTGGCTCGTGGTGTCCCGTGGCTCGCCTCGCCGCCCGGCGCCCGCCGCGGCGCCTTGAAAATGCGGGGCGCTGCGCCGCGCACGCGAGGGGAGCTGGAGGAGGAGGAGCACTAGTTCATCGCCCTCGTTGATTAGTGCGACGATCTCCGCCCTGCTCACCGCGGCCTTTTTGGCGCCACCACCCGCCTCGCGACCAGTACCAGACTTTCAACACCGAGGCCTTCGGCGGTGAATGCCTTGCGATGAGCAGGAGGCTTTCCAAGGCTGCGCTTGATCCAGCTGACCCGTTCGGCAAGTTCGGGATCGCGTTCGGCCCGCAGCTCCTTTCCCTTGGCCCTCGAGGGTCCAAAGTCCGCGGCGCGCCGCGAGGGGGCGACCTTGTTCCCCGTTCCTGCCCTGGCGGGTGTCGCCGCAGCACGGGCTGCGGCTGCAGGGGAGCGGGGGGCCCGAGTCGGCTAGCCTTCGAGGCCGTGCGGGCCGAGTTGCAGGCAGGCCTTCCGCGGCCTCCGCCTTGCCTCGCCTCCCGGCGCCCGCCGCGGCGCCCTGAAAATGTGGAGAGGGGCGCCGCGCGCGCGAGTAGAGCAGGAGGAAGGGGAGCACGATGTATACGGTGATGCAGGGTTTGGGTGTGCTCGTAGATGTTCTCCATGGTTCTCTTGGTGTCGTCGATTATCCTTGCCAGTTGGGGTAGGGGCATACTGTTGAGCATCACGGCTTTGTTGGAGGCGATCTGCGTGATTGCGTCGGTGGTCGGTAGGCCGGCTGCGCTGTTCTTGACGATAGCTGTAGCGGCACGCCTGTGATCGATGTGCTGGATATTTGTCCATTCTTCTCTCAGCTTGGGGTCGTTCGGTGGCGACTCCCAGTCATGTCTCTTGGTGGCGTAGGCCTTCCTCGTCGGCATGGCGTTTCTGATGGTGTTGGCGATGTGGTCGTTGTATTCCTGGTTTGCCTTTTTCTTCGTCTTCTTCTTCTTCCTCTTCTTGGGCGTCGTGTCGTGCTCCGGTTGGGCCTTCGCCTTCCCCTTGCCCTCGTTGTTTGCCATTCTGGTTCCAGTTGTCGGGCTCGTGGTCGTCCTTGGTGGCGCTTCCCTTGCCGCTGTCGTTGTTGCCCATCCCGCCGTTGTTATGGTTCCAGTAGGCGTCGGGGTGGTCATTGGCCCACTGGTTGGTCCAGTTTTAGATCCTCCAGCGTTCGAGACCTGCCCCGATCGCAGGTGTAGCAGGTCTCGGTGTCGCTCCAGTGCTGCGAGGGCGGCTCGATGTCGACCTCCGTGGTCGTGGCGTAGTTCCTGATCCACTCACGCTTGATCCCCATGGTGTTGCCATTGCGGGGGGTTGAGGTGGTGTGCGTTGTGACGAGCGTCGGTGAGTTCGCGTGCGGCTGCGATCGTGAGTAGAGTGCGTGTTGCTGCTCGCTGTCGGCGTTCGCGTATGTGCCACGAGGGTTCTTAGGTGGGAGTCGTGGTGGTAGTGTTGCGTGCCGATGTCGATGTCGAGGCGATCTGAGTCATGAGGACAGGGACAAAGGTTTTAAAAAGTACATGCAGGTTTGATGTAGACGTGGCTGTAGGTCACCTGAGGGCGGGGCACCGCGCTCGCTGCCGCCCGATTCTCCTCCGCCTCCTCCGCCTCCTCCTCCTCTTCCTCCTCCTCTGCTCTCTGCTCTCTGGCTCCTCTCCCATCGTCCTGGCGGCGCGGCGGGCAAGCGTGCGGCGGGCCGCCGCGGGCCCAGCCGCGGGTCGCCCCGTGCGACGGGGCGCCCTCAGAACTCTTAGGTGGTCCATGTCCCCGTCCAGTCCCCACGCGTCAACGTTCCGAGCCGCCCGGCGCAGCGGAGCGATACGCTATAAGCTATAAGCCATAAGCTCTCAGGGCATAGCGTGTCACTGGGGCCGCCGCCGCGACACGCTGAACAACAGCTCCACAACAAAAAGTCTGTCGTGGCATTTTGGACGCCTTACGAAGTTCAGCATGAGCGAACATGTGGCAAGATGTGTGTATAAACATTGTTTGTGCCGCACAGGAACTACGACCCCCGATTCAGGCTCATGCGGGGCGGTCACCCTGCCAGAGAGTGCGGGAGGGTATGTTCCTGATGACTCCGTTCCCCCTTTTTGTTGCCATGTGCGGGAGCCTCCTCGCAAGGGTCACATCGGCCAACACTTCTCAGCTGGGCCAGGGCACGGCGTGAATGCACGGAGTGCCCGTGGCAACATGTGGCATTGTGCCTTTGTGTGCATGCGCGGCTGTGCGCACCTCTGGGCGAAAATGCCCATGTGCGTGTTTTGGCGCGCGCCTGCTCCGAACAGCTCTGGCGACAGCCCTTAACTTTGTTATGTCAGACTGTGCGTTCTGGGGACTGTGCTCCACTTCGTTCAAGACTCAGCGAGCATCCACTTCACGACTGCGCAGAGCAGGAGAAGGAGAAGGAGAATCTGGTAAATTTCCCTCTCGCCCCGGCTTTTGACTCCCGGCCGTGCCTGGAGTTTCAGCAGACATCCGACGATATACGGTCGGGAATTTGGGCTTCGCGTGCCGCGCCGCCAGTTCTGGCCCACCGCGCTTCGGCGCGACACGCTTTCCACGTGCCAGTCCCCGAGGTTTCAACGTCCCGAGCCTTTCCAAGCCTCCCGCCCCGCGGAGCGGAGCGACACGCTATCAGCTTGCACGGGATAGCGTGTCACCGGGGTCGCCGCCGCGACACGCCAAGCAAAAGTTCCGGACCGCCATTTGCTCAATGCGTGCCCCCAGAGTTTCCGACTCCTTCCCCGCGTGCTTCCGCCTCGGATCCACTTCTGATGGACCCCGGGCCCAAGAGCGGGTCCCAGAGGTCGAGATCGAGGAGAAACACCCAGATTATGATTCAAACAATCACATTTTGTCAGAGATTTCGGGAGGTCTCCCGAGGCCTCCCGAGGGCCAGAAAAATTGAATAACAACGAAAACGTAAGACAGAGTTCCCCGAAAGCGCCCAGCTCGCCCGCGCAGGCCGCCAGCGCAGCCGATGCGCGAGGACGCCCGGGCCGACCTCGAGGCGATGCGCGAGGACGGCGCCCCCTGGCTGGACGTTGCTATAGAGGTGCCGCTTGCCCAGGGTGCTCCCAGCTTTTCGCTGCATGTTGGAGCCCCTGGGGCCCTCTGGGCCTCGTGAGGAGTGCTCTGGAGGCCGCCTGGCCCTCCCCCGAGAGTCCTGGAGGGGGCACTTTTAGCAACACCCGACTTGGGGCTGGCGGGGCGGCCCAAATCATCGGTGACCGGAAACTCCCGCTAACACTCTGGAACCGGTCGCCACCGAAGTCCAGCCTCCAGTCGCGAATTTTGGTAACGAGCGAGCCGTCGATGTCGTTCGACCCTCGCTTGGACCCCTGCGCGCCGTCCCTCTGTTACTGACATTCCATCCCCTCCGGTCGCGACCGAAATGTGGCGCGTCCGAAATCCGTGACCGAGAATTTCTGGTCGCGGATGATGTGGGCGGGGGGATCGGGACTCTGCTTCCTGGGGCTCCTGTCGCGCCGTTCCAAGACCTCTTCGCGTCGTGAAAAACATGACGGACAGCACATTTTCCCATTATCAGCCGCTAGGGCACTCGCCGGGCCCTGGGACTGGCAAAAAACGTTCAGGACGGAGAGCCGGTCCGAGAGAATGAGTCGAGACCTTTGGGGGTCGCTGTTGCGAAGGAATCATGACGTCGGGGTCCGAGCCCGAAGAAACGCAAACCCAGACCTCCAATGGTATGTTGTCCCCAATCCCCAAGTGTTTCCTCGCCCTCGGCCTCTGGGGCCCGTCATCGGGCCCCAGGGCCATCAAAAGCGGATCGGGGACGAAGAGTTGTCCCTGGTGAAGCGGTCGGGACCTCTTGTGTCGCGGATCGAAGGAACAGATTGCCGGATGTCAGGGAACATGGAATAAGGCGCCTGGCGACGGGTCCCGCTTCCATATACCAAATCGGCTCGCTCCGTCACCAAGTCGTCCAGGGGTGCTTTCCCCGACCTCGCCCAAGTGGCGGAGACCGGACGGGGCTAGGACCAGGATAAGTCGCCCCAGAGCGTTCTGGAACGCTCGCTGAGCTTTCCGCAGCGCTTTGGAACGGCCGCTGCGCCCGATACATCCTCCCCAGACATGCTTTTGGCCCGAGTGTTCATGGCTCACGCGCAGCTTTCTTGGCCCGAGCGCCTCGCGCAGAGGCTCCGACCGCGCGTGGCGGCGACCACGAGAAGAAGAAGCAGGGCAAGGGGTTGCGCGATTGGCATGATCTATTTGTTCGACTTCGCAGCATGCGCCCCCTGCCGCCGCCGCTACCGCGGGGATGCGAGCAGGGCACTTCCCATGATGGCGCCCTGCACCGGGCCAGCCCACATCACCGTGCTCAATATGTCGGGAGAGCGCCTGGGGCCATTGGAGCTGGACGCAGAGGCGCCGCTGCAATCGCTGAGGCAGGCGGTCCGACAGCACTGGGGCGTGCCCTGTGCCGCTCAGCGCTTCGTGCTCGGCAGCCAGGAGGTGGAGGGGGGCGGCTCGACGCCGCTCGGCCGTGCCCTGCGCCTGACGCCCGAGGATGCCAGTGCTGAGGTGATGTGCATTCGGGTGCCGCTGTTCTGCGACGCGCGGGCAGCGCACCAGGCCGTGCTCGACGCTACGGCGAGGGGCGACCACGCCGCTATGGCGGAGGTGCTCGCGGAGTCGCCCGACTTGAAGATCGCTGCGGACAGCGTCACCCATTGGGCCGCTCTGCAGCCGCTGCTCGTGGCCATCGCCGCGGGGGACGTCGAGGCCGCCAGCCTGCTGCGCGCGGCGGGCGCGCCCGAGCCGCGACTGGAGCCGAGGGCGGCGTCGCTGGGGCAGGCAATGCGGATGCGAGACTTGCCAGACGTCGTGCGGTTGCTGGCTGGGGGAGTGGACGTCAACACGAGGCTCTACCAGGGCGAAGGCATCCGGGCCACGAGCCACGCCACGCCGCTGCACGCGTGCTGCGCCCTGAGCCACCTGCCCGGCGCGGCCGCAGTCGCCGAGCTCCTCTGCCGGCTGGGAGCCGACTTGGGTGCGCCAGATTGCGAGGGGGATTCTCCGCTGGCGCACGCCAGGTACTTCAACGCGGATGCCATCTACGCAGTGCTCCAGCGGCACGGCGCCCAGGTCAGAGGGCCCTACTATTCTGCCACCTTCAGCGTCGTTCGTCGCTTTGTTGGCACGGGCGACCGCTGAGCGACCGTTGGAGCCACCGCTACTGCCACGCGTCTCTGCTTTCCGCCCCCAGGACGGTGGGAATGGGAGCTGGTCCTTGTCGTCTTTCTCAGGATCGGTATTTCTGCACACCTGCTGTCGCGTGCTGCGGAGTGAACGCCCAACTTGCGATGATCAGGCCGGGCCAACCTGGTGTGACACAGAAGCGCCAAGCGGGTCAGGCTTAAACAATCAAAGCAGCGTCTCCCCAGACATGCTCGCGCTGCGGAACAAAAAAGACTCGACGGGAATGGTAACATGTTTGGGTTCAGAGTTGCCGGACCTCCCACATGGAGCAGAAGTCGCAGTGGAGGAAAGGGGTCTCGAGGGAAACAGGTCCTGAGGTTTTTCCTTTTCATCGGACTCCCAGGGGACTCCGCGGGTCCCCAGGATTGCCAGACAGATATTCTGGATTAAGGGAAAGCCCTCGTTTCCCTCAGGACCCGCTGCCTTCATGCCCAGGAGCCGAGGAAGAGGGAGGCCGATGTAGTCGCGGCGGATCGTTTGGGGGTACGCGCCCTTTTCTTTTTTGACGTTGCACCAACCTGGAGCAGCAAGCCATCGCGTCGATGCCCCTTCCTCCTACTCCTCTACCTGGCTATCCGAGCTCGTGCTTCTCTTCTGGCTCCTCCTCCTCCTCCCCCCCTCCTCCTCCTCCTCCTTCTCCTCCTCCTCCTCCTCCTCCTCCTCCTCCTCCTCCTCCTCCTCCTCCTCCTCTTCCTCCTCCTCCTCTCCCCCTCTCCTCCTCCTCTTCCTCCTCCTCCTCCTTCTCCTCCTTCTCCTCCTCCTGCTCCTCCTCCTCCTCCTTCGCGGTTTAGGAGGCTGCGAGGCTGAACTGGAGCGTCGGGGCGCAGAGGCCGCCATGTACAGCGCGCCGGGAAATTTCAAATGAGCGCCAGGCTGAAGGTACATAGCTTTTTTGTTTCCAAGTAATGCCTCTCATCCCCCCGATCACTAGTTGGTCTTATTTCCCCACCAATTCTCTCTTACGCCCCCCGCGAATTCTTGGCTTGTTTCCTTGACTACAGACTCGGAAGTAGTTGTCTTGACGCCACACCAAAGTTCCAACAACACCCAAAAGACAAATGAAGGCTTCTGCGCCCAACCCCGTCCGCATCAGCGGACGCGCGGTCTGAACGCATTGAATTCTAAGCGGGCCTCCGCCTGCGAGGAGCCCCCTGGAGTGGCCCACTCCCTTGGTTAGAACTTGATGGATAGCGGGTGGAACCTGGTTTGAGCGATTCTGCTCAGGGCGTCTTCACAGTCTACTTGGTTTGGCCCCTGATTCGGCCTGGTTTGGCCGCGCGCCCCACCTGAGATATCCTCAACATCTACCTGGTTTGGCCCTTGGTTTGGCCTGGTTGGGGCCCGGTTTCGCTGGAGACGTCTTCAAAATATGCATGGTTTGGCCTTGGTTTGGCCTGGCTTGGGCCCAGTGGCCGGGCCCAGTTTCTCTTGAGACGTCCTCACAAGTTGCTTTGTGTGGCCCTGGGTTGGCGTGGTTTGGGATTGTTTTCGCTCGAGAAGTCCTCAGAATTTCCCTGGTTGGGCTTGGTTGGGCCTGGTTTGGGCCCGGTTTCGCTTGAAACGTCCTGGCAAGTTGCCTGGTTTGGCCCTGTTTTGGCTTGGTTTGGGCCCGGATCCGCTTGAGACGTCCTCGCCGTCTTTGTAAGTTGACATAGTTTCGGCCCCTTTAACATGAAAATTCCACACTTCGCAGTCGTGATTAAATCTGGCATATAGCACACGAGAAATCATCGCAATTCGCCGACACACTTGGATGTGTCACGTTCTCTTCGACATCAAAGGGATACTTCATACAAGTCATGGCGGGTGTGCAGAGAGCAAAGTAATGGCAATGTGCACAATGAAGAACGATGTTTGTCCACATGTAGCACGACTGCTCTACAAACTGACGGGCGGAATTGGCGTGGACATTCCCATTGCGCTGTGAATCGTCGTGGGCACGAGTGGCGGTGTTCGGAGAAAGCCTTTCAGAGCCTGTAGTTCGTCCCATTTCCCTCCCCCCAATCCTCTTGTAGCTAGGCCGAAGTAGGAGCGAACGTCCGTGCGCCCAGCAGCCGGTGGCTGGGACTGGGCCCGCGGTGTCCCGCGGGTGTCCCGTGGTGTCCCGTGGTGTCCCGTCCGCCGGTGGTTGGGACTGGGCCCGCGGTGTCCCGGCGGTGTCCCGTGGTGTCCCGTGGTGTCCCGTTGAGTGAGATCGATACTGAGATCGATACTGAGATCGATACTGAGATCGATGTGGTGCCCCGAGGTTTCCCATGGTGTCCCGCGGTGTCCCGTTGAGTGAGATCGATAGTGAGATCGACAGGTGTCCCGTGGTGTCCCGTGGTGTCCCGTTGAGTGAGATCGATAGTGAGATCGATACTGAGATCGATGTGGTGCCCCGAGGTGTCCCGCGGTGTCCCGCTGAGTGAGATCGATAGTGAGATCGATAGTGAGATCGATAGTGAGATCGATAGTGAGATCGACAGGTGTCCCGAGGTGTCCCGTGGTGTCCCGTTGAGTGAGATCGATTGTGAGATCGATCGTGAGATCGATAGTGAGATCAATGTGGTGTCCCGCGGAGTCCCGTGGTGGCCCGGGTGTCCCGTGGTGTCCCGTTGAGTGAGATCGATAGTGAGATCGATACTGAGATCGATGTGGTGCCCCGAGGTGTCCCGTGGTGTCCCGTGGTGTCCCGCTGAGTGTGGTCGATAGTGAGATCGATCGAGTCAGATGTTGGTTCCCCCCCTTCTCCCCCCCCGACAACCTCCTTATCACCCGAAGGGTGGTCGTATATATATATATATATAAAAAGACTGCATTGGCGGTTCGCGCCATGCACCTTGTTCCTTGTAGTTTCGAATGCAGGCGGCGTGCGTGCGCGTGGACATGGGGCGGGCCACCGCCAAGTCGGAATGGGTGAGGAGTTCCTGAGCGGGAGCGACTGGATAACACCAGCTGAGGCCATCTCAGGGCGTTTCGGGTCCCAGAGGCGCGAATCTGTCTCAGGCGAATGGCTGGGCTAGCATGAAGCAGGGCATCCTCCTCCTCTTTCTCTTCCCCCCCCTTTTCCACCTCCTCTTTCTCCTCCTCATCCTCATCCTCTTTCCCCTCTCTCCCCCTCTTCCTCTAATTCCTCCTCCTCCTTCTCCTCCTCCTCCTCCTCATTCTCCTCCTCGTTCTCCTCCTTCTCCTCTACCGTCTCCTCCTCCTCCTCCTCCTCCTCCTCCTCCTCCTCCTCCGTACCATTTTGGCTCAAGCAGCCGTTCTGGCTCAGGCTTTTCGGCTTGTGCTTGCAGCAGCTTCCTTCAGAACGGCACACAGCTGCTGCGGGCCAAGTTTGGCTCGGTATTGTTCTTCCACTTTCAGTTTGCGGGATCTCAACCCGCCGTCTTCATCAGTACGGCCAGGGTGCGAGCTGGTCCGTGTTCCCTGCTCCTGTTCGTGGTGGCCAGCTCCCTGGCACAATGGCGAACCAGAAGCAGCGCGAACGCCAAGGTGCAGCCAAGGCCTGGCCTGTCGCTTCTGCTGGAGTGACCGCACGGGCGAGCGCCGGTGGAATGCTAACTCAGCCTCAGTTCGCAAACTCTGCAAGAGGCCCAAGGGTAGCTGCTTCCACTCGGTCAAGGGTGCCGGCGGCCCGCCTTCGGTCTCGGTCAAGGAGATTGCCAAGTCCGAGGAGCTCCGGTCGGAATTCAAGCGCCTCAAGGCTGAGCTGGCGGAGGCCAACAAGGCAGCAGCAGCGGCCGCGAAGGCCCCTGCCGAGGAGGTTGGCATGGAGGTCGACGAGGGCGATGCGATGCGGATAAGGACGCAGCTCGGATTGTCGAGCTCCGCGACCAGATCGACGGCCTCGAGAAGCTGCCCGACAGCAGTGGGGCGATTGCTGCCCTGCGCACGGCGGCCATCAAGTAGCTCAGCGAGTGCCGCGCTCGCCAGCTCAACGCCAAGCCGCTTCCTATCCAGATCCAGCGGGTCTCGCAGCAGATCGCGGTGGTGGAGAAGCGGAAGGCGGTCAAGCAGGAACACCTGGACGGCCTCGATCAGCAGATCGCGGAGCTCCAGCAGCAGCGCCTCGAGGCTGCGAGGGGGTTGGCTGCTATCCAAGTGGAGTTGGTGGAGCTGGAGGCCCAACGCACCAAGGTTGCGGCCAACTTCCACAGCCCGCCACCGTGGTCGACGGCGCCCAGGCCTCACTCGACTCGGTGTTGCCGTCGGTGCGCATGTCGACGGCTGAGCTCGAGCAGGTGGCCACCAACTTCGGCGCCGACGCCGGCCTCGCGCGCGAGCTCGCTTCGGTCGTGGGGCGCGTGCGCGAGGCGGCCGTCAAAGCCCAGGCTGACGGCGCGGCCGAGGCCGTGCGGCGTCGTGCAGAGACAGCTGCCCCTGCTGCCGCACCGGCGCCTGCAGCGGGCGGCGGACTGCCTGGCGGCCCTCCCCCTGATGCTGGTGCTGCTGGCGCTGAGGCTGCTGCGCCTGAGGCCAACACGGGGTAGATTCCCAGTGGTGTCGACGACCCGCAGGTGCTCAAGGCTTTCCTGGAGGCCATGGGCATGGGCGTTCCCGAGGACGAGGAGGAGCTCAGAACGGCGGCCAAGCGGCTGGGCGAGGGGCTCTTGTCCTTCGCGAAGCGGCCCAGAACCACTGCTTAAGTGGGTGCTGCTCCTGGCCTGCGTTGTGGCGGTTTCGGCGTCCAGTGGCAGTGGAGCCAGCAGTGTTGGCACTGGTGCGAGTGCGGGCTTGCCTGCAGACTGCACCAGACTGAGCTTCTGCTTTCCGAGCTCAGCCGCACGAAATTGCAGAATCAGTTCTGCCCCACTGCCGCCGGCTGGGACTTCTGCGGCGGCGAGGGCAAGCTTGACGTGGTCTGGGTCGTGGTCTCGGTTTCTCGGGCCCCAGTTCGTTTTCTCGTTTTCTCAGCCCGTGGGTGTTTGTCTCGTTTTCTCGGCCTCTGGTTCGTTGTCTCGTTTTCTCGTTTTCTCGGCCACTGGGTCGTGGTCTCGTTTTCTCTGACCCTGATTCGTTGCCTTGTTTTCTTGTTTTCTCGGCCCCTGGGTCGTGGTCTCGTTTTCTATGACCGACATTCGCGTTTTCTCGGCCTGCGTCGTGGTCTAGTTTGCTCGGCCCTTGGTTTGTTTGATCGTTTTCTCGTGTTCTCGGCCCCTGGGTCGTTATCGTGTTTTCTCGGGTCCTGGTTCATTGTCTCGCTTTCTCGTTTTCTTGGCCTCTGGGTTTTTGTTTCGTTTTCTCGGGCCCTGGTTCGTTTTCTAGTTCTCTTTTCCTCGGCCCTTGGGGGCTGTGTTCTCGCTTTCTCGGGCCCTGGTTTGTTTTCTCGTTGTCTTGTTTTCTCGGCCCCTGGGTCGTGGTTTCGTTTTCTCGGGCACTGGTTTGTTTTCTCGTTGTCTCGTGTTTGTCGGCCCCTGGGTCGTGGTCCCGTTTTATCGGACCCTGGTTCGTTTTCGCGCTTTCTCGGCTCCTGGGTCGTGGTCTCGTTTTCTCGGACCCTGGTTAGTTTTTTGTGGCCCTGGTTCGTTTTCTTATTTTCTCGGCCCCTGGGCCGTGGTCTCGTTTTCTTGGACCCTGCTTCGTTTCCTCGTTTTCTCAGCCCCTGGGTTGTGGTCTCGTTTTCTCTGTCCCTCGGTCGTCGTCGTCGTCGGGGGTCGGTCGCGCGTCGTCCGACGTCCGTCGTCCGTCGCCGTCTTCGCATGACCTCGTCCTCGTCGTGACGACCACGACGAGGTCATGCGAAGACGGCGACAATGACGGCGACGGCGGCCACAACGACGACGAGGACGACGACGGCGTCGCACGAAGACGTCGAAAGACGGCGACGGCAACGACGATGGCGACGAGGGAGGATCGTCCGGCAGGGGGAGTTCAAGGGAGGGGGGTGGTAGCTTCCAGCACGGGTGGGTTCAAAGGGGGGGAGCTAAGCTCCCTCCCTCCTTTGGGGGGGAGGGGGGTGGGAGCTTCCAGCAGGGGAGGTCCAAGGGGCGGGGGGGAGCTAAGCCCCCCCCCCCCCTTTTGGACAGGGGGGAGGGGGGTGGAGCTTCCGGAGCGGCAGAAGGGGGGAGGGGTGGGGGGTAGCTTCCGGGGGGGGACCAAAAAAGGGGGGAGGGAGGGGTAGCTTCCAGCAGGGGGGAGCCAAGCGGGGGGGGGTAGCTAAGGGGGGACCCCCCCTTTTGCGAGTTCCGCGCGCGCGCGCGCTCTCTCATACATACATACACGTATATATGTATACACACACGTGCATATTCATAGATTCACATAGCGGACAGAGGCACAGTGTTTTTGAATCGTTGGTGTGATAGTAGAAGGCCACAGCACAAGGATAACTTCACAAGTATGAACATCCCCCCCCCCCCTGAATGGCCCAGAGCTCGAGAGGTTGGATAAGGAGGAGGCTGAATCCAGCCGTCTCGCCCGAAGAGCTGGCTGGCCGCTCTCGTACCCTGTCGGCCAAGCCTGCTTCAAAGAACGGCAAGCTGGTTGGATGGTCTAGCTGAGCTGAGCGAAGCAAGCAAACTTGAGACATCGTAAGGATGTCAGCGCTCGAATATCCGTACACATAACACAGCATGTGCTATACATAGTGTGTCGCATCGCAGAAAAAAAACGGGTGTACACATATATGCGCATCAATGTTCTTCTTCATGTCGCACGTCATTGCGAACTCGCATGTCTTGTTTCCTATATTTCCCGGACCCCGCAGTTGAGAGGTCAGTGGGTGGGTAAGCAGGTTCTTCTCGTACGGCTTGTTGTTTTCGTAGGCTGGGGCTGGGCGAGAGCTTCAAAATGGCGCGCTACTACCCAGAATAGCCATCTGTGGGCAATGTGTTGCTCCCAATGACAAGTTCGACAACGTAGTAATGGATACGGGACGCACGTCCTGCACGCCCAGAATTCCGCCCAGGGCTGCATTCACGGTACGTGGATGTTCGGATTGGTCCTTTGGCCTAGCTTAAGGCAAAGGCGTCAGCGTTTCGGTTTGATTGTTTGTCTCAGCACCTGTCTTCTATACAATAGATTCGTGTCGTGTCGATGTGGGTCTCGTGGGCGGGAATCAAAGTCGTATCCGCGGCCTGGCGGGCCGGGCCCCTGGGCCGCAACCCCCTGGATGCGGGGCGTTTTTTCGCGAGCGTCCCGCGCGGAACCTATCCATGCGACCGCGTCTGCACGGGATCGCTCTCCGAAATCCAGACCGCGAGGGCATGGATATGGATACGTTCGCCGCTCGTGAGGGTCGTCACGACACGAACCTGCCGCAAACACAGCAAGCAGAGCTAAACAGAGCCCGACATGCGATGCCTTGTATTCTCCTCATTTAGACGTGCCTGAGGGGTTCTTACTTGGTTAAAGGTTGGTGCCTCGGAATGCTATGTTGCCCGTTCCTGGGAGATTCCTCGGAGATTTCTCGGGTTCGTCGGGTTCCCCGCCCCCAGTGTCTCCTTTTGTTGCGTTGCTCGTTCCCCGGAGGTTCCTCGGGCTCCCTGGGCTCTTCGGCTTCCCCGGCTTCCCCGGGTTCCTCGGATTCCCCCAGTTCCCCTCCCCGGGTTCTTCGGGTTCCCCAGGATCCCCGGGTTCCCCGCCCCCGGTGCCTCGCATTCGTATTGTGCCTGTCCAAGCAATGCCAAGCAATGCCAAGCGATGCCAAGCAATGCCAAGCAATGCCAAGAAATGCCAAGCAATGCCAAGCAATGCCATGCATTGCCCAGCAATGCCGAGCAATGCAAAGGAATGCCGAGCAATTCAAAGCAATGCCAAGCAACGGCAAGCAATGCCAAGCATTGCGCCCATGCAATAGGAAGCTTTCCCCTAATTGGGGTCGGGCTGGGTTCATTTGTTCAACACGGGGTCCCAAAAGTCCCGACCTTTTCCCAGGACCGCCTTTCATCCCCAGTAGTTGCTTAGCGGTACCGAGGCCCAGCGAGGGCTCCCAGGGGCCGAGAATGGCCAGCAAAAATCCCGGAGTTTTGCTCACGACGCGAGCATGTCTGGGCAGAGCACGACCTCGGGAGTTATGGGAAAATCCTGGAGGCCTCGCGCGGCGCGCAACAGGTGTATTATCTAGTCCGCACGTCCGCCCGGTCAGATATGGGACGACGTTCGCGCGGCATGGTACGACGTGAATCCGACGTAAAACCGACGTGAATCCGGCGTGAGTCCGACGCAACTCCTATGCGAATCCGACGTGGATCCGACGTGAATTAGGTCTCGAGATGCCGCGCAAGGCTTCCATGATCTTTCTCATACAAGGGGGGCCCTCTTCCTCCTCCCCATCCTCCTTCCCCGAGCGTCGGCTTTCGGGTCATAAATCTGGTCTTCAGAGGCCGTTCGAGACGATCCCAGCACACCCGGACCGCCCTCGACGAGGCGCAGTCGATGGAAGGCATCCTAAGGCTGGAAGATCGCCGAGAACCGACGAAAACGCCCGAAAGCTTCCCGTCGTGATATATTTTGCCCGACGCGAGCATGTCTGGGTGACCATTCCCGCCCCCATGCTCACCTTCCGTTGCATCATCGTGGGACGTCGTCTGTCCCCGAAATTGGCCTCGTGTGCCCGACGCGGGCCCGATGCGGACTCGACGCGGATGTGGCGTGGATTCGACACGGGTTCGACGTGGATTCGACGCGGATTCGACGAGTCTGATGCGGACCTCGTGGGTCAGGGGCAACGAAAAGGAGGGGATAGGCTCGGGTGGAGACGCATCGACTCCCAATCGCCTATTGATCGCCGATAGGGGCCCGATAGCCCACCCCGCCCAGGAACGTGCGGCTATCGGGGGTCTACAGTCGAAACCGATAGCAAGGATGGATAATTTTTCCAATGGTACCCTTGCGTCCTTGCCTCTTCGGTCCATCCTTGACAGCTTTCGATGGCCCGCCGCGCTCGAAGCAGGTTCAACACTGGCGTCCAAGAGGCTTGCATCCTTATCGCGCACCCTGACTTTTTCAGCTTTAACTGTATCGCCGATCCCATGTCGATGCCCCCCCCATGTGCCACTCCCCCCCTCTCGTTGCCCCTCAGGGTAGCGGCCAGGACGCTGGCGCGCCGATCAGCCCCACGGGCCGGCCGCCGCTGGCGCCGCCCGGGCAGCATTCGGCGCCGCCCTGGGGCGCGGCGTGCTCTGGGGGCCGGCCGCCGCCCCTGCCGCACCGGCACGCTGGTCGGCCTCCGCAGGCGGCGCCCGCCAGCGCCGGCGCGCCACTCACGAGCACACGTTTTGCTTCGCAACCGGCTGGTCCAGCACAGCGAGGGTCAGAGCTCCGAGCCATCAGGGCTGGGGGTGGTCGGAGGTGGCTCCTGATTCGTGCCACAGGGGCCCAAACCTGAATCGCCCTGGAGCGACGTTGTTTATCCCCGATAACTCGGGCGTCCAACCACTCCCGAATCATCGGGGCTGGGGGTGGTCAGTGGTAACTCCTGGATCCGCGTTGCAGTTACCCCGTGCCAGAGTTACCTGGATAACTCGGGCGTTCAAGAGGGCATTAGCGGGATGTGCTAATCCAGGCCTCCCAGTTGGGGTCCGAGCATATGGGGTCGGAGGATCACGCCGCATCGCCGATGCATCTGCGATGCGGCTCGATGTGGAGCCCTATTTTCTCCACGCCGACTGCGCCGACGCATCGCCGGCGTCGTGTTGTGGGTCTGAGGCCTCTTGGATGGTCGTTGGGATCTCGTCGAGGCCTCCCGAAAGTGGAGAACCCTAAAAACACTGAAAAGCGTTATGGAAATAAATGATTTGGGCCTCTCGGGGCCCTCTTGATAAGGCTCTTGGGCATCTCTTGCGGAACCGGGTTGGGCCTCCTCTGACCTCCCGATCCCGCAGCGGGGGTCGGCGGCGGAGCCCGCAGGGCTCGAGGAGAGGATGCGGCCCCTTTTCCAGTCCTGCTACCAGGAACCAAATCGCCTCAAGCCGGCTCGAACCGAGCCGGCAGCAATGGGAGAGAGATAAGAGGGAGAAAGGGCGGGGGAAAAGGGTATATAATGGGCTTAAAGCCGAGAGCAGGGGACAGATCCAATCCGAAGGGCTCGTTTTTCCTCACGGATTCTTAATCTTTGTGGATCTGTGCCCAGTTCGATGGCGACCTCTGATAGGCAAACCATCCATTCAGTCATCCAAGACAAAGGCGCCATGGTCGCGACCCATGGCGGTGAAATTACAATATGGAGCGAGCCCAGAACCAACGCTACCGGGCTCATGAAATCAAAACACAGAAAACTCTGTCCAGAAATCCTGTCATTTACTCTCACGATACGCAAATGGACCAGCCGGTCCAATCGGATGTACATATTCCGAGGAAGAGGAGGAGAGAGTAGATAATTAGCACCACACCGCACTCGAGCGTACAAACTTGCACTAGCCTCGGCACGACACGAGCTTAGACAATTGGAGGAGGAAAGGAGAGGTCCAGATCATTCACTGTGGCTCAAGGACTCCGGGTGTAAACCTGCCATCCTTGGCCAACTCCCTCATTCTGGATTCCCAGCGTTCTCGAGCGACACGCCGGGCCGTCTTCACCATTTCCTCTCTAAACTCGATACTCCACGTGCCACGCTCTAACGTCTCTCGAAGATGGTCCGCCGGCATGTCCTTTGTCAGAGCATCGCTCAACATGTTAGTCCCGTCCGTCCAGCGAACCATCGTCTGCGGCCTATCTAGAATCTCCCTGATGCTGGCCAACTCTAGGTTGACCGACTTCTGCGCCGAGCTGCCCACTCCGGCGTCTGAGTTGAGCCTGTCGTGGCCGTCCTTCGAATCCGTCACAATCGTCATCGGTATCTGCCAGCCCGACAGCTTCATGCCTGCGCCCCTTGCCACGGGGCCGTACAACATCTCCGCGATCTGGTCGCGCATCCCTTGGGCGACGTCCACGGCGTCACCCACGGAGATCACCTCCGCAGCGTAGGAACTCCTCGCCGCGCGCTTCAGCTTGTGGCTCTTGCCCTCCAACAACGAGAACCGGCCCACGCCGCCGTCCACAAGCGCGCGGTCCGCGAACAGGATGAGGTAACCGGCCTGAGTACCAATCTTCTCGGTCGCCGGATCTGCCTGCAACGCCGTCCCGTCGCTCATCACATTGCCCAGTGAGCTGTCTGATACCACCACCAGGCCGAATCTCTGGAGGTCGATCGGTCGCATCGTGATCTTGAACGTTGAGCTGCGCTTCAACTCCCTCAGCAACTGGTTCGCCTTGATCAGCGCCGCGGTCCTCGGGCCCTTCTTGCGTCCCTTCTCGCGCTGCAGCACCGCCAGGTCGTACGAGTAGTCCACGCGCAGCTTGGTCACCAGCCAGTTGATCTTGCCGACCACCTGCTGATACTGCTTCCATTCCATTGCGTTCATGGGCTGGTGCGCCACTGTGCGTCGTGCCCTGGGTACAATCACAGGTTCCAGCCCAGCTGCATATTCCATCATGTCAATAGTGATAGCTCCTCCAGGCTGTCGCTGAAACCGCCTGCCGCAGAACACAAAGTTATCGTACTCTTCACTGCCGAAGCCGAACTCCTTGCCCAGCGCGTCCATCACAGTCGCCATCTTCTCGTTCCCCGTCCAGAGGAAGTCGTCCACATGCACGCAGACGCAGCCCCACATCGTGTCCGGCCCGCGCTTCTTCCCTCTCGGGTCGTGGAGCACCAAGAATGCGGGGTCCGAGCGAGAAGGTTCGAGTCCCAACTTGCGGGCTGCTGAGACCACCTTCAGGTGCCACAGCCTCGGCGCCGTAGGCAGTCCGAACACGCCCTTCCGAACTCGCGCCAGCCGACCTCGAGGGGAATCTGCGAGCGAGGGACCATGCATCGGAGCGCGAATCACCAAGCCACGCTCGTCCACCTCGCCCTTGAGAAACGCGCCACTCACGTCCTTCGATCCAAACTTCCACTCCGGGTGAAACGCAGCTACCTGCGTCCAAATCATCTCCGACTGGGTGGTCGCGCAGGGCGCGTCCACTCTCACGTTGGCCTTCTCGTCCGAACGCCCTGGGTCGCCACTGTTGACCACCAGCCTCGCGTTCGCCTTCAACGGTAGGTCATTCGCCTCCGTCCTCAGCGGATCGTTCTTGTCAGTCAGCACCCACCGCGTACTCATGATGTAGTCGCCCTTGCCTTCGCGCTTCATCTGCTCCTCGAGTTCAGCGGACTCCTTCTCCAGCAGCACCTCCACGGACTCCGTGTCAATCCACTTGGTCCACTGCGACGCCGCTGCCTCTTCGTAATTCGCCTTCGTAGGTGGGTCCATCCGACTCCAGACCTTTTCCTTCCGGGCTTGGCCCTGAACGAGCATCGCCTCCAACTGTGGATCAACCGCAGGTACCGTCTCCAGGTGATCCAGAACGCGCCGTCGATCTGCTTCAGGAGCACCCTGGAGCCATGCTTTAGCTCGTTTCTTCACACCCTTGACCCACAGCGCCTCGTCGTGGTGCTCGGGTTCCGGTGGCCCGTCACGCCCTCCACGAGATGGTACCTCAGGCAGCTCAGCTTCCACCGCATCACGCTTCCTGCCATGAGGCTGAACCTCAGGCTCCACAGACACCGTCTCCACCGCAGGCGTGCCGAGGCTCGAAGCATCACCTTCACGTCCTTGATCCTCGTCCTCGTCGTCCTCGGCGCGCGGCGTCTTTGGCGCGAAGTTGCCGTAGGGCCCGAACTGTCCGTCTGGAACGACGTTCGCCACCGGTACCGTAGCGGCCGCAGCCCTCGCCCGCTCACGTACTTCTCCAACTTGCTTCTGGATGGTCTTCGCCACGCGCAGCGTCTTTGACCGGATCGGGTCCTCCCCCTGGCCCCGCGGCCGCTGCGCCGCGTCCTGCAGGAAGTCCGTCTTCCCGCTCTCCCGAGAACTCGTCTTCCGCGAGAACTCAGCGCTCGAAATGGGATCGAGCTCACCACTGGCCGAAGTACCGGCCATCGCAGCCACGACGGCTGATGGTGGGATCTCTGCCGTCGACTCCTGCTGATCCTGCTCGGCCTCCCCCTCGACGTCCTCGTCAGCTTGAGAAGGTCGAGCTTCATCCTCCGGCGCTTCACCTTCGTCGATCGGACCGACCTCGCCCGTGTCCTCATACCCCTTGGTCGCATCCTCCACGTCGAGCTCCCCCTCAGTCTTCATGTCGAGGAGAGCCTTCTCCATGATGTCCAGCTGCTCTCTGGCACTGATCCCCAGCGCCTCATCTGGCGATGCGCGGCGAACTGCCGCAGGATCACACTTGGTCGACAACCCCTCGTACGAGACGTAGATGGCTGCCGGCTCCACACCGATCACGACCGCCGGACCATGCCAGGCCTTGAAGATCAAGGACGGGCCCCTCTTCCGCCGGTTCTTCCGCTTGCCCTCGCGGTAGAAGTAGACCACATCGCCGAGCTTCACATTCGTGCTGGGAGGCATCTGGCGGCTGCGAGCAACTAGAGCGCGCCGCAGTCGCTTGCTGGTATCCAGCTTCTCCAAGGCCACCTTCGCCGCGCTGTAGACCTGCAGCCGCTTCGTCATTTACGGGTCGTTGACCACCGCCTCGTGCGCTGCGAGTTGTGAGCGACCGCGCTCGCTGAGTAGTCCCCACGGCAGTGTCTGGGACCGTCCTAGCACGAGCTGCGCTGGCGAGAACCCGGACTCGTTGATCCGCTGGTTCTTGGCCCAGGTGATCATCACTGCGGCAGCAGTCACCTCCAGCTCGGTCTCGATATCCTTCTCCGTGGTACTGGCCTTCCAGAGCACCTTCCATTCGCCTCCAGCACGTTCACACATACCGTTCTGCCACGGCGCCTCCACCGCCGTGGACCACACTTGCACCCCGCAGCCCTCCAGCAAGCGGAGTACCTCCTTGTAGAACTCGCCGCCGTTGTCGCACACCAGCGAGTGAGGTACCCCAGCCCAGCTGAACCAGACCAGCTCCAGCGCCTGGGCCACAATGCCGGGATGCTTACTCTTAATGGGCGCGACCACCTGGAAGCCTGTCTTGATATCCACAACGTTGAGCATCTCCAGCGCCACGCCCGAGTTCGTATGCACCGTAAACAGGTCGATCGCAATCTGATCGCCGAACTCTTTCACCCTCTTCAGCCGTGCGGGGAACCTGGTGTGTCCAACCGCTGGTCTGTTCATCTCATGGCACACCGGGCACTTCAGCTGCATCGCGGCAGCGACGGCCTCGTCGCTTGCCCCACACGCACGGAACGCCCTCACGAGCTGATCCCTCGAGGGATGTCGAAGGTTCTTGTGAATCCTGAGCACCGCGTTCTGCACCTCCTTCGAGACCTTCGTCTCCTTCAGCGTCGTCATATCCTCCTGGGGCTCCTCCGTGGCCGGGAAGTCCACAAATCCCCGGTCGTCCACCTCCTCTGGGCCCCCCTCGGAGTCCTCCTCAGCCGCGAGCACCTCATTCGTGCCAAACAGCTTCAGCATACCCTTCACGATGCTCCTCGCCAACTCCGAAGTATAGTGGCCCGTCCGCGCCGCCACGCTCGGGCCGCCCATGACAAGGTGGTGGGCGTGCGACTTGTCGCACTGCCGATTGAGATCCCCGAGCAGCTCCTGGTGCGACGCTAAGAACCTCGTGGGCTTCCGATGTGCTACCCCGCGCTCCGAGGTGAGGCCGTACATGCACTGGTCCACCTCTGCAGCGTAGCCGTTCCGAATGAGCCCCTGGGGTTCTGGCTCACTCCAGACTCGAGACCACCTCGGATTCTCAATCATCCAGGCTCCACCGTAGGTCTCCACGACCTTCGTGACCTCCTTCACAAATCTCAGAAATGGTCGGTCTCGATCTTGCCGCTCTCGAACCTTGGCCTGATCATTCTGGAAATACGTCAAGTTGCTCCAAGGTCCACAAGGAAAGGCCATGAGCACCATCTTAGGCTTCCTTGTCTTGATGTCCTGCAGCACTTCGCGACGCTTCTTTGGCGACCTAAGGTCATCACCGAACTCCAGCGAGTAGTTCCGCATCGTCGGGAGTCCCATCCTGGCCGCCTCCTTGCGCACCGCCTCCTTGGTCGTGAACACCTCGGTAATCCACGGCTGCGCCTTGGTCCTCTCGCTGATGGCCGCCTCACACTCGGCCTCCCATGAACCGAAAGAGGGCCCAAACTCCTTCAAGTAGGCGTCTAGCTTGACGTCCACCGTCCCAAGGTCGCGCTGCAGGGAGTACAACTGGTCCTTGACCAGGGTCCTGATGCCGTGCTTCATCTTCTCCACCTTCGGGTTCAGGTCAACCCGATCCGTGAAGTTCACCTCCTTCGTAACCTTTACCGGCATACACATGCCTAGCATCGCCGCGCCGAACAGCCACCTCGATAATGCCGAAGGTCCCCGAGCAGCGGGTCGAGCTCGAGGGTCGAAAGGCGGCGGGCGAACCCCCGCACTGCCAACCGCTGGGCCTCTCGGACCCATGCGAGCCCGCACGAACAGCACCTCGTCGTGCGCGTAGGCCGCGTCCTTCAGCGCAGGCATCGTCATCAGCTCCGGGTTGCCGTCCGTCGGTACCTCGTGCTGGCGCAGGGCCGCTGGCCGCTCGCGGCCGTTCGCCCGCTGGCGCCTCAGATGGGCCGGCGAGGGCGCCCAGCGGGGCGCCGAGGAGCTGGCGTGGAGGCTCGCCGCGGAGTTGGAAGCCGCCGAGGCTCGGAAGCACTTGCAGGCGCAGCCGTGGACGGGCGGAAGGCCTACGACAGCGTCGACTTGGAGACTCTGCCGGGCATCCTAGCCCGCGCAGGGGCGCCCGCATGGAACGCCCGGCCGGCCTCGGGGGCGCGCGCGGCCAAGCGAGGGGTCTGCGTCGGGCGCGCCATCGGTGGAGCCTAATTGCCTGCTCGGGGCGTGCCACCGGGCTGCGCCCTGGCGGTCTTCCTCCTCGGCGCGCTCGCGCGCCCGCGGTTCCGGCGCGCGGGGTCTGTGGACGACCGCCTGCGCTGTGGGCCCGCGGCAAGGCCGACGAGGCGGGCGACGTCGCAGAGGCCGTCAGGAACGGGGCGCAGCTCACGGAGGTGTTCGAAACGGCGATGGGATGGCAGCTTAATCGAGATAAGGGCCGCCAGTTCGCGAACGCGAGGGAGCTGCGGCGTTTGCTGTCCTTCCCGGTGCCCGCGATCGCCGCTCGCTGCGGCTTCCGCGACTTGGGCGCGGTCGCCCGCGTCGGGCCTGCCCGGCGCCTCGCTGTCGTCGGCGCGCGGGCGAGGGTCGCAGGAGGCCGCTTCGTGCGCCTCGGGCGATTGCCGGTGCCCTTTCGCCAGCGGTGCCTGCTGGGCGCCGCAGCTGGCGCCGCCGCCGGGCTTGCCGGGGCGTCGTGCGGGCGCCCGCCCGCGCGAGAACTCGCTGGCCCCCGGACGGCCGCGCGGGCGGCTGTGCGCCGGGGCGGGCTGCGCGCCGCGGCCGAGGCGGTGTTCGGCGTTCTGAGCCCGACGCGGCGCCTCGACCCATTGGCCGCGGTCACGATCGCGCCGCCGCGGTAGCTGGCGAAAGCGCTCCGACGCGGTAGACCCCCGCGGGGTCTGCGGCGGGAGGCAGAGGGGGCCATGTTCGCGGGCCACGGGCGCGGGAGCGGGCCGATCGCGGCGGCCGCGCGGAGCCCAGCGACCTTGAGGCTCGGCTCCGACGTCGAGCTCTGGCGCGGCATCCCTGGGCGCCCAGACGAGCGGCGGCCGGCCGACGCAGCCCTGCGCGACACCCAGCAAGTGCTGATCGAGGCTTGGCCCCGTCGCGAGGCGCGCGAGGTGGCCGCCCGGCGCGTCGACTTCGCCCACCTCCAGGGCGGGCTTATGGGCCATTCGAATTTTCTCGCCGGCGGGCAGTTGGCGCCAGGCGCGTCTGGGGCACGGTGCTCATAGCCAACGTGATAATTGGGCCCGTTGCCGCGAAGTGGGGCCGGCCAGCGACCTGCACCCAAGGGCCCGCTGCAGCGCCGCGCGCGAGGGCCGGGAGCGCCGCTTCTGGACTTGCCCAGCTTGGGCTTCCGCTCGGAGCACGGCAGGGCCTTGGTGTCACGGAGGCCTCGCTCCGGGCCGCCTTGCCGCCGGGCGTGGCGCTCTCCGGGGCGCTGCCCGTGGACGCCCGCCTCGAGGTTCTGGCGTTGGCGGCTCGCGTTGCCCCCCTAGCCGGCCCCAAAGCAGCCGGATCCGGCTCCGCGCCTGGAGAGACGGCACCTGCCTGCGCCCTGGCGACCCCTTGCTGGCGCGGGCGGCGCGGGGGCTGCGGCTTGAGCGCCCAGGCGCAGGCCCTGTCGACTGCAGCGGCCCCATCGGCGGCGCGCAAACGGCGCTGCGAGCGGAAGTCGCCGCCGCTGTGCGCGCGGTAATCGAGGCGGGTCAGCCCATCGAAATGGTGACGGACTCTCGCTACGTCCGCAACGGGGTCGCGGCGCTGCGTGCTGGAGCGCGCCACTTGGAGTGGCAGCGCTCGGGTCCCTGGGACCTGATCGCGCCGCATGCATTGCCGCAGCGGCTTCCTAACGGCGCGCTGGGCCAAGGCGCGCCAGGACGCCGCGGCCGCGCGAGCCCGCGGGGCGAGCGCCGAGGACTGGGAAGGCAACGCGGCGGCCGACCTTTTGGCCGGCGCCGCCGTCGCGACGCGGATATTGCCGCCTGATCTTCGCGCCGCGCGGGACCGCCAGCTGTGGGCTCTCGCAGCTCCGCAGTGGCTGCTAGCAGCGGCGGAGCTCGCCGCCCTGAAGGCGAACCACGGCAGCAGCGGGCAGAGCGGCCCGCGCGTGCAGCGGCGCCGGACTGCTGCCAGGCTGCGCCCTTGCCACCAGCCGCCCTTGCAGGGCGCGCCAGGGACGGCGCCAGCGCCCGCGCCGTCGCCGGCCGGCGCTGGGGCGCGCCGCCCGAACCGCCGAGGGGGCCGCGGAGGCGACGTGGCGCCGCCGCCGCCTGACGAGGCTGCGCGCGCGTTGTTCGCCGGTCGCGCCGAATGCAGGGGCCAGCGTGGGTGGCGTGCCTCAGGTGCGGCTGCTCGGCGCCACAGTGGCGTGCGCTCGCGGCGCGGCCATGCCCGGGCTGGGCCCCTGTGCTGCCGCCGCGGGCAGCGGGCCGGCGGCGCGCGCTGGCGGGGGCGAGGTGGTCTGGCGCGCGGCGCTGGCGGTGCGCCTGGCCGAGCGGCCCGGGCCGCCAGGGTAATTAGCATAGTGTTACCTGACCCCCCTCCCCCTCCTCCTCTGCCGCGGGGCCCTCGACTGGTGAGTAAAACAAGTGTCACACGGCCACGCTCGCGCGACCGTTCACAGGAGAGATGAGGGGCGGGAGAGGGGGACAGAAGAGAGGACGGACAGGAGACAGAGGGGACAGGATGAGAAAGTGGGGGAGGGCGAGAGGGGAGGAAAAGCAGCACTACCACCACCACCAGGAGCAGCAGCAGCAGCAGCAGGAGCAGCAGCCACCGGAGGGCTCCCCCGCGGGCGCGCGCGCGTGCAGGCGGCGGCGCCGCCGCCTGGGCGGTCGCAGGCTGCGCCACCGCCCGTGCCGGCGCCCTGCAGGGAGCCGCCAACGATATTCGGCCCGCCGCCGCCGGGAGGCGCCCCGCCAGCCCGCGCGGTTTTGGCCAGACCTCCGACGATCTGGTTATTGAAGTTTTACGGCGGGCCGAGCAGCAGACCTCGAGTTGACAAGGTTGGCGAGCCAAAGAGGGTCTCCGGGAGTGGAGGGGCAAATCGATCGATTGGAAGATTGTCAGGGGACGGGTGCTGCGGAAACGGGTCCTGCAGGTGTTTCGCTTATTCCGGGCCTTGGATGCCTTCCAGGGCCCCAGGACCGTATAAACATTATTCGGGATGAAAAGCTGGTCTCTTGGGAAAGCCCCGGGGTCCAGGAACCGTTTCCCTGAAGGCCCTTCTCCCCACGCCCCGGCCAGAGTAGATGGGGTCGGAGGATATCGCTCCACATCTCCGATGCATCATTGATGCGGCTCGGTGTGGAGCACGATTTGTTTCCACGCCGACGGCACCGATGCGTTGCCGACATCGCCGATACATCGGGGATGCATCGGCACCCCGTCTATTCGGACCCAGTCTGGGAGGCCTCTGGCCTCCGCAGACACAGCAGATCTCCTACGATATGATGTCCTTGATCCCAGCAGTTGTTTCTCATTCCCGGTCTCCCTGAGTCGTTTTCGAGCCCCAGGGTCATCAGATACGGATTTGGGACGAAAATCTACTCTGTGGGAAGGGGTCGGGGCCTCGGATTTATCGTCGGATGTTTGGGGAGCGACGGGTGTCCGCGATTCGATCAGGTCGGGTTCGGCGCGGTGCCCTCCCAGGCTGCGTTCTACTTGTCGGTTTCGGTCGGTTTGGATTTCGCTGTCGGATGCGGTTGATGTTCGATTTTGCTGCCGCCGTGGGCCTCAGCCCTCGCACCCCTCCGGGGTGGTTGGTAGGAGCAGCGGAGGTGCCTAGGCCGCCTGACAAGTCGGCAACAAGTGGCACGCTTGCCCTGGCTCTTGCACGAGGGAGGGCCAGGGCCAGGCGAGGCGGGGTGAGGAGGGGGGGTTCTTGGTGTTCTCCTGGGGCCATCATGACCCTCATGAGGAGGCAGGGGCAGGGGGGGCGGGGGGGGGCCGACGAGCGAACGAACGAACGACGACGAAAATTGAAGGCTTCGAGCTCTAGCGCACAGCTGAGCAAGAGAAAACATATTCTTCCTTCATTGTCTTTTGACTCAGCCCCACCCTGCTGCTCTCGCGGGGAGCCTCGAAGAGGCGCTGCGGTGTCCTTCGTGCCCGTCCTTCCCGTGCGCACCTACCCGTCCTCGAAGAAGAGGTGGACAGGCAGCAGTGTGTGCTCGATGCGCGCACCATGCTGTGATAAGCGCTGGCCGCGCGGGCGTTGCCCGCGACGTACACATAATTAAACATGGGCCCGCGACGTTTTTCGGCGAGACGCAGTCGTGCCACAGGAATCTTTCAAGAAAGGAGCGGAGGGAGGAGGCAGGACCTCTGGAGGAGGAGGGCGAAGGAGCGAGGTAGGCTAGCCGTGATCGTCCCCATCGCTGCCGTCTGGCAGGATGATGAGGTCTCCGAATTTGGCATCCATTGCCAGTTCGCCTGGAGCAGCCTAGGGCGGCACCCGTCCGCGGATCACATTCCTCCCATGATCTGTTCAAGCGGAAGGCTGTGGCGCTCTGTCGGATCACGCCCCTTTTACATGGCCTGGCAAGGCCGACGGCATTCTCACGGGAACAGGAACCGCAGGCCGAGCAGAAACTATAAGGCCCCATTGACAAAAGTCTGTGCTGGCGGCCTTCCGCGGTGCAGCGTGAGAGCAGATTGGAGGGGACGAGGGCGCTGCGCAGGCGCCGACTGCATCGCAAGCGCCCCTGCACACTGACAAAGTCGTGACGCCCGTCAGACACTGGGTGTTCGGCGGAGAGCGCCGGGCCGGGGCGACTGCCTAGCATTCTGGCGTGCTCCTGCCGCGGGAAGGGCCAGCCTTCAGAAAGCAGCCGAGGAGGCGGAGGTGGAGGAGGAGGTTGAGGAGGGGAGGAGAACCATTGCAAACCCAAGATTCATCAACGATGTTGGAATAAACCCTCCCTCCAAGCTCATACGAGGGAACATTTCCACTGAGGGATCTGCTTCGTTGGGAGACAATCGTTTGAAGATCCTGAATCATGCCGAAACACCGTTCTCGGGATTCCGACACCACGGATCAACCTGACGGTTGCGTCTTGACGATCCTGAATCGTGCCAGAACACCAATCTTGGGACGTCAGCGCCGCGAATCAAGGTAACCGCTGCACCCTCACAATCCTGAGTCCTTCCAAAACACCCTCTCTGGTACGTGACCATGGGGATCCGCGAAACTCATGCAACATTTTAAAACGAATGTGGGCGGCGCTTAGGCGAGAGCCACAGTTTGAAAACCAACCGCGCTGAATCCGTGAAACTCTTGAACAGTTTGAAACGAATGTGCGCCCTGCGAAGGCGGCGAGAGCCACAGTTTGAAAACCAGCCCGCCTTGAATCCGTGAAACTCTTCCAATTGTTTAAGACGAATCTGCGCGGCGCTCAGGCGAGAGCCACAGTTTGAAAACCAACCGCCCTCAATCCGTGAAGCTCTTGTACATTTTTCAAACGAGCGCACGCGGCGCTAAGGCGAGAGCCACATTTTGAAAACAGCCCGTCCCTCAGCTGCGAAGCTGTTGCCAATGTTTTAGCTTCAGGTTCATAACATGTGAGGACGTCTCAGGCGAAACGCCCGGCCCGCTCTCTCGACGGGCCCCAGGGTGCGACAGGAAGGAGTTATTCATAAGGAAGGGGAATGGAGGAGGAGGAGGAGGAGGAGGAGGAGGAGGAGGAAAAAGAAGAAGAAGGCCCAAACTTCGAAGACCGCCTTCAGAGAGCCATTGAGTTTTCGTAGGCCCCCAGGGGTCGCAGGCTCCCGCTCTCGAAACCCATACCAGGGCTGGCGGGGCCATCCGAGGTGGCTTCCGGGGCCGCGCGGGGGTGAGGTGAGGGTCTTCTGGTCGTTTCCGAAGGCGCGTGTCGTTCGCAACGACTGTGCCGTTAGTAGAGTCTGGAAAGAAGAGCCCATGGGCTTAGCTGCCCTGACACGCCCGTGTTGAAATACAGGACGTACTGCGTGCAAAACGTCTGGCTTGAACATGCGGCGTGTTGGCTCGGCACGTGTTGGCCCACCTCTGAGCGAACGTATCGCGCCAGACCTGCGTTTTCAAGCTACGTGCTGAGCTCCGTGTGAACTTCGCTACGGGTTGCGTGTTGCGCGTCGGCGCCGCCAACCCCCAAGAACGTTGGTAAAGCCTTACAGGTCCGATGTCCCCGGCAGAAGGCCACGGGCTCGCGTGCCCAGCGGGAAGAGTGTCTAGCGGCGGCCGAGACCGCGGAGCAGAGCTGAGAGGACACCAGCACATCGGTGGTTGTCCCGGTCATCTTACCAGTTTGCGGTCTCTCCCCTCATCCTCGCCCCCTCCCCTCCTCCTCGCCCCCCTGGTCCTCCTCGTCCTCGGCCTCTTTCTCCTTCTCGCCCCCTCGTCATCATCCTCCTTTTCCTCCTCCTCCTCCCGTAGCTATGTTGGCGCAAGATGGCACGCCATCGCGAGCGCAGCGTGGATACCGCTAGTCCGCGGCCAGTCCCAACAGTCTTGCAGCCACACCCAGGGACAAGCTGCCGTCCACTCCTGCTTTCCAGGCGTTGCAGGCCGCCATACATATCGCGTCAAGATTTGTGCCGAGCTTCCATATCGCCTTGTGCTTCGCGCCAAACATCCACATCGTTTTTTTTCCGAGCTCTGCACCGTGCATCCGTATCGGTTCGTCAAGTGCTGTCTCGAGCCTCACAAGGGACACATCAGTACGCAGTGGTGTAACAGCGGACCTGGCCAGTGGCGACATCCCGAGCAGCCTTCTTACTCATCCTGCGTGTGCTACAACATCATGCCATGTGTGCCGCCTCCCCCGGCAGGGACGACATTTCCAACGGCTCCGCGTCCCCCGGCCTCTGTGACGACCGCCACAGTCGTTGCGAAGAACCCCGCCGTGATGACAGCCGCCACGATGACCGCCATCACAGACGAGAAGAGCTTCGCCGAGATGGCCGACGCGCTGCACTCGAACACCTGGAACACCGTGGCAACAAAGGCTTCAGTAGTCAAGACCCCGCAGGTGCTCCGCGGCAAAAATTTCGAACAGCAGGACGGGGCACCGCACGTCCACCACCAACACCGACCCGCAAATCAGACAGATCAGGAGGACATGAAGCGCCCGACGCTCTTCGTCGTGGGCTGCCAGCACCCCCTTGCTCCGAGCGTGTTGCTCAACGACTTCCAGGAATGGATTGCCAGAGGCCAACCAACAGTCAAATCATGTGGAACTATTCGGAGACGGTGAACCTGCCCGCCGCTTCGTTCTACAAGTCAAAGTTGGCAACGCTGTCGCAGTGCCCCGTGCTCCGGCTCTCGCGCGCCATGCGCATCGCAGCTGGCCGATGGAAGCGGTTTACCTCGACTGACGCCACAGGCCAGCCAGTCGACATTTACATCAACCCTGACAAGTTCCCCATGCATATCAGAACAGACCAAGAAGCTCCCACAGTGCATGCAGCAGCGTTACCCTCGCCAACGGTGGGGAGCCTTTCGCACCAAGGGAGAGATCCACTGCGACTCCATGCCCGTCGCCAAAATCATCATCAGAGGCCAGTCCGACCCATCCATCCTCCAGTGGAGCGAGCAAGCCTTCGACAACCCGCAGTACCAGTCCATCGAACGCGGCAGTATCCTCACTTCCTTCCAGGCCGAGTTTGCCGACACGGGGTCAGCAACTTGGCGTTCCTATCCACCGCCAGGCTCTTCAGCGGCATGATGCCACTGCGGAGCCGACCACCATGGTCGCAGAGAGCGCGCATGCCCACATGTGCTACAAGGGCAGGCACTTCATGCGCAAACAGGCTGCCCGCGCCAAGCGCATGAAGCGCAAGTACGTGCTCACGTTCGAGGAGGTCTACGGCCCGGTGGCCCTGCTCCACACCTGGGTTAATACGCAATAGTTTCCACGCGTTGTCTTAGT